ATTGGCCGACGCCGGAGACCGTCACAGACGTAAGGTCTTTCTTGGGGCTCTGCAGTTTTTACAGAAAATTCATCCGATGGTTTAGTGAGATCGCAGCCCCAATGACGGATCTCACAAAGAAGAATGTACCTTGGGTCTGGGGTGACCAAGAGGAAAAAGCGTTCAACGGGCTTAAGAAGGCCATGGTCACCGCCCCGGTTCTCCAGCTACCCGACTTTGAGAAGGAATTCACCGTCACTACAGATGCATCAGAGGTGTCGGTTGGTGCAATCTTGCAGCAGGATTTTGGCTCCGGATTACAGCCAATCTGCTATGAGAGCAGGAAGCTAAACCCTGCTGAAACAAGATACAGTGCATACGAGCGGGAGCTGTTGGGGATTGTGTGGGCCATGGGGAAGTGGCGGCACTACCTTGCCAGTCGTCACTTCACCGTCCAGACCAACCATGACTCATTAAAGAACCTGGCCAATCAGCCTTCAGTGAACAGGCGGATTTGGAAGTGGGTTCAGGTTCTTCAGGGATACGATTGTGACCTGGTCCATATACCAGGGAAGAAAAACCCCGCAGACTTCCTCTCACGCAGAAGTCTAAGGGACGTGAAGGAGATGGTCCACGTCCGAGAGGAAGAAGAGTCATTGGTCAAAAGGTTGTTACTTGGAGAGGACAAGTCTGACGACGGGATCCAACGTAAATTGGATCAAGTTTTTGCAAAGAGCAGACCGGAGGTGACCCAAGCCGCGGGTCAAGAGGACGAGTTGGGACCTTCACTTTTTGTCGCCAGGTCCCGCATTTCATTGGCGAGAAGCATGAGAGAGGGGATCAAAAAGGGCATTCAAGAGGATACACGCTGGGCAGATATCATTTCCCAGCTGGAATCTGCCCAGGACAATGCGTTGACAATTGGAGATCGATCCTTCCGGATTACAGGAGGATTGTTGGAGTTGAGAGACAGCGGTAAAACTGGGAAAACACAGTGGCGGCTGGTGGTGCCAGATGTTCCAGATATCAAGAAGCAGATCATGAGGGAACTACACGAGGTCCCTTATTCAGGACATCTGGGCTACCATAAAACATTAAAAAACATCCAGAAGACCTTCTACTGGCCTGAGCACACCCTGGATATTCGGGACTTTGTGATGGGGTGCCCAGTTTGCCAGCAGGAGAAGGCTGTCCACCGTGTCCCCGCTGGACTGTTGCAGCCATTAAAACTCCCAGAACAGAAGTGGGCCGACGTCAGCTTGGATTTCATCATGGGTCTACCAAAGTCAGAGACTGGGAACGACGGGATACTCACAGTGGTAGATCGGGCAACGAAGATGGTGCATCTGGCGCCTGTCAAGCAGACTATCACAGCTGCTGATACAGCCCGACTCTACTGGAGCACTGTGGGAAAGTTGCATGGAATCCCTCGTTCTGTTGTGAGTGATCGAGACCCACGCTTTGTGTCCAAGTTCTGGCGCGAGCTGTGGAGCATTTTGGGGAGTTCATTGAGAATGTCCAGCGCCTACCACCCACAGACAGATGGCCAAATAGAGGCGATGAACAGGGTGGTAGAGATGGTTTTGCGCTGCACTCTACACGCCGGGCAGGATGGATCGAGCTGGGAGCGGCTGTTGTCCACCGTCGAGTTTGTGATCAACAACAGCCCAACGCAGGCGACCGGGTACACGCCGTTTTACTTGAACTACGGCTTCCATCCGTGTACTCCGGCAGACCTTATCCGCGATAGTGACTCTACTCTCATTGAGGGAGTCAACCAATTCGTAGAGCGGATGAAGAGGAATTTCTCAACGGCGGTTAAATTTCTGAACTGGGCTCAAGATCGCATGAAGGCACAAGCCGACCAGAAGAGAAGGGAACAGCGGTTTAGTAGTGGGGATCAGGTGCTTCTCTCAACAGAGCACCTCAACTTGAAGAATGCACCGATCCGTAAGCTGAAGAAGAGGTTCGTTGGCCCATTCTTCATTGTCCGTCGGGTGGGACAGGTGGCCTACGAACTTGATCTTCCGAGTACGTGGAAGATACACAATGTGTTCCACGTCAACTTGTTGCATCCTTTCAGAACCAGTTCATGGACGCAACCCACTACATCTGGTCAGGTGGAGGAGATCGAGCCTGAGGATGATGAGCCATACGACGTTGAGAGATTACTGCGTTGGCGGTGGACCGGTCCCAGTACCAAGCGGCGGAAGGAGTACTTGGTCCTTTGGAAGGACTATTCATTGGATGATGCCACTTGGACTCCTGAGGAGAACTTTACATACCAGGAGGAGCTCAAGAAAATGATCAAGAGGGACAGACCAGTAGAGGACAATTAAGGCCACTGGTTAGCCTGACGTTTCGAGGGCGAAACTACCCCCAGGGGGGAGTACTGTGGTGTAAAGCACAGGGGGTAGTGTGTTTCTTGGATTATGGGTATCTGGGAGGTACAATGAATAGTAAAGAACAATCTCATCTCTTAGTAGAGCTTACTAGGAACCCATAGGTTCTTGAATCACTCCATTTGGGTTAGCGGTAGTGGAGATATAGTTACTAGAAGTTACAGTACTTAGGGATGCCTCCACAACCGTACTGGGGGATGAGATACTATCGATACGGTGACGTTGGCTGCATTGTCACGTGATGCGGGGCACGCCAAAGGGTGGCCCCGATGCCCGACCAGTTGTAACTCTTGCTGACCACTTGCCTCCGCGCGGCTGCACCCGCAGGCTGCACCGGCGTCGCGCACCCATTGCGCGCACTGCCGCCCCGCGCCCGGCGAATCGCAGGACTGGGCCCACACTGCGCACCCCGAAGGAACGAGCGCCCCGGACCGCCCGCCGTCATTCGGTGGAGGAGGCCATTCCGGCCGGATTGGGCGCCGCGGCGGGCACATCGCCCGCGGATCGAGCCGACAACCACGCCAGGAGGGCACGCCGGGCTCAAGGATTAATTTTTCAAAGGCTATGTGTTCTTTGCATTACCGACCATAAAATTGTATACAACCTATTCAAGACTTATGTTTTGGGATCAGTTGGATACGCTTTTCCTATTTGGGGCCCCTTTCTCACAAAGACTCAATGGCATCAGTTGGAGAAAGTCTAGACTCAATTCTTTCGCCAAATTCTTTGCCTTCCTGGCTGATGCCGGTGGCACCACTTACATTGGCTGGTAGTACATTAAAATAATTGTATACTATCATTTGTACATTCTATATTTTATTATACATGATTGTATGTTGATTGACAGGTTAAGTGTGCGCGGAGCACACTCTGTAACGTCTCTCGTTGGGTTTCGCGCTCTCTCGCACGCAGCCCATGCGTGGTCCTCGCTAGGACCCACATCACTGGCCATACGCCAATTGGGATTATCTATGCTAAAATGGGAGCACTTCCTTTAGAATTTTATTTATGGAGGCAATTGATGCGATACTGGAATCGAATGGTGAAACTACCCAATTCTCGGGTTCATGGCGCCATTTTCAAGTCCGGGTTTCAACAATTCTCCACCATTCCTCGCTCGTGGTATGGACGGATCATTGCCTTCTTCCATCGATTCTGGCCGGCTCTCAGTTTCACGGAGGCTATACCAGTTGACATACAGTCCTTGCAACGGATATACAAATACGTCCACATCGCCAATGTCTTCACTAGCCATTCTTCACGAATTCAGCATTGGTACAAACACATCAAGCCAGTCTACCGCTATGAACGTTTCCTGTCAACCTTACAACCTATCTCCTTGAGGACTTTCTTCCTACGCTTTTGCTATGGGGTGCATTTCCTGGAAGTTGAGAATCAGCGACACCAAGCGAGACAATCCATTCCAGAACTTTCAAGGCGATTGTGTCCGTTATGCCACTTGGCACCTGAAGACGAGCTCCATTTTCTCTTCCACTGCAAAGCCTACGACACCATCCGTCGAAGCCACTCTCGTATTTTTCAATGTCGCAATGCAAAAGTACTCTTTGCTACAGTTCCAGCTCAACAACTTGCAAACACACTTCGTTTGATGTATTATCATCGATTATCACTTCTAGGTATCGAAATTTCATAGATCATACATTTAGTTTGTTCGATGTATTACTATCGATTATCACTTCTGGGCATCGAAATTTCATAGATCATACATTTAGTTTGTATTCTCCTTAGATTCCAATGAACCAATCACCGACTCTGCTTTGCTCAGGCAAAATAAGAAGCTGACGGCTACCTCATTGCCTTGTTCTGTAAAAAATCATGATGATGATGATGACGATGACTCATTTTCTATGGCGACTTTTGAGAGTGTGCCTTTTGATAGTCCTTTCCCTGCTTGTCATACGGGGCGCCTTTTTGCCACATTTGCTAACCCAATGATTGTGGTCTTTGAGTCTTATTACTACTTTATAAAGTGGCGCCCCGAACACCACTTCTTAACTTCACGGGTCGCCACTTGAGTTGTGTCATTAAGATACTAATTTGTTCTGATGATTCCCATTATTAGTGAATGATAAATTGATGGCATAACAGAGACACAATCCAACGCCCGCTGCAATTCAGTTGGTGCGATTTGTTGCGTGGCAAGAATGCGACCTCCATTTCCACCAAACAGTTGCAGGATGGCGTCCCGTCTTTCGCCCAGTCTGACGACTCCACAGCCCCATCAGCAGCGTATGCCCCATTGCCCACAAGAACAAACCACAAAAAAAACCCAAACAGCCAAACCAAACCACGAAGAAAACCGGGAGGGCAGCACATTCTCCAACGGAGCCCACAGCACATCCGTTGTACACCACGACATACGCCTCCCAGTACATTCCCCGGTCGCCAACTCCCGTCAGTGACGTGTCGGTGACGCTGGCGCTGACGTCGGCCTCCCACCATTCCCCCAATGAAAACCAGCCCATGCACCACCCAGCCGACAGAACACAGAACAGAACAGAACGCATAATCCCCGAGCGCGTGTCTGCACACACAACCGCGCCTGACAGCTCCCCACCCCACCCCCCGGAGCGAATGCCCCTGCGCTGCGCCTGAGCCATGCCGAGGGTGGACGCGTGGGAGGTCAAGAAGCCCTCGCGGCCGTCCATCGATCTCGGCTTTCCGCGGGGGCTGGAGGATGTTTACGAATGGGGCGAGGAGCTGGGCAAGGGCGGCTTCGGCGCCGTGCGGCTGGTGCGCAGCAAGGCCAGCGGGCAGGAGTTCGCGTGCAAGTCGCTGCCCAAGGAACTGCGCGCGCCGGGCGTGTCGGAGAAGCAGCAGGCGCGGCACGTGGAGATGATCAAGCGCGAGGTGGCGGTGCTGAAGCGGCTGGTGTGGACGCTCAGCGTGGTGCGGCTGGAGGGCGTGTACGAGGACGATGAGAGGGTGCACATCTTGATGGAGTACTGCCGGGGGGGGGAGCTGCTGCGGTGGAGCGGGCGGGAGATATTCAGCGAGGAGATGGTGCGTGCGCTCGTGGGGACGGGGCATCGGAGATTGAATTGAATGTGCTGGGGCGGGCGGGCGGCGACGGGAGGGTTGTGGGGATTTCAAAAATTGGATTGTGGGTTTTGATGGCGGGTGGGCCGTGGCCAGGGGAGGGTGTGTGGTGGATCGTGGAGAGGGGGAGTGGTGTGGTGGGGGCGGCGGCGTTGGGGTGCATTGCCGGTTGAAGGTTGTGGCCGTGTCGCTGACGGCTGCTGCCGTGTATTGCGCGCGGCAGGTGGCGAAGATAATGCGGGCGGTCCTGCGCACGCTGGCGCAATGCCACGCGCACAACATCTTGCACCGCGACATCAAGCCTGGCAACTTCATGTTCCTGACCAAGGAGAAGGGCTCGCACATCAAGGCCGTCGGTAAGCGCGCCAGAGTGGCGCGCCACGCGCCTCAGCCCCCTGCTCGCTGCGGTTTTGCTCCCAACCCTCGCGTGCTTTTGCAGATAGCACCGCCGCTGGTATTTGTGCTGGAGCCAATGTCCCCACCGTTCGCGTTTCTGTGTGCAACAACCTCGAAGGATGGCCGTCCGCTGAGGCGAATTGAGGAGCCTGTTGGCGCGTGCAGATTTCGGCATGGCCGTGTTTTACGATCCGAAGGAGCTGCCGAGGAGCGACTTGGGCTTCGACGGCACGCCGTGGTTCATGGCGCCGGAGGTGTTGTCGTCGCAGGTCGTTCCTGCGTCAGACATTTGGAGCGCGGGAGTGATGGCGTACCAGCTCCTCACGGGCTACCTGCCATTCGACGACCGCAAGCACAAGCGGGCGCCCGTGCTGGCAGTGATCTGGTAAGGGGGCACCCAGGCCGGCGGCCTCTCACTTAGGCCCGGACTTGCACACAAATGGAAACAGACGCAGCCGGATGGCCAATGACTTAGGGATCTCTCCGGGGGCGCTGAGCTGCTGTGCCCTGCAGGACATTCCGTCCTTTTGCGAGTCGAGGCTTTGTGGGGGGTCACGGTGGCCTTGTAGGAGTCACAGACAGTGGTTGTCCACAGAAGTGCCAAGGGTAGCTGCATGCAGTGGGCGGATGCGCCCTTGTTGTCCTCTGTTGAATGGGTCCCCATGTGTGGGGTGTGTGTGCAGGCAGCATGTGTGCATTTAGCTGGCACCAGTAGAGACAACTTTGTTCCTGCAAGTCGTGGGAGATCGTGGGTGAAGACCGCTGCACCCAATGTTTGTCCCAGGGTGTCAGGTGCCATGCAATGCATATATACTGCTTGCCCCCCAGTCCTACACTCCAGAGCATTTGGATTGTCTGCAAAGCAGCTGCATTTGTTTGCAAGGAATATGAATGTGTCCAATGCTGCAGCTGCCAAGTCCATGCTGAGAGGCGCATGCCTGCCCATCGTATGACAATGCCAAAGCAAAATGGTGGTCCACTAGCAGCGTCTCTGTGCCTTTCAAAAATGTTATGCCACTGAGGTATTTGTGCTGTTGGAATCCTTAGATTGGCCTTTCTTCCTTTCTTGCTGTTGTTGTGTGAAAGACAATTGCAGAATGACAATCCCAGTACACCTGGGAGCATTCACGTCCGTTGAAATATTGTCACCTGCAGCATGCAAGTGCCATGATGTGCTGTGCGTGGACATACACAATCCAAGGCATTTTTTCATGGCTGGAGCATCGAAAACTGCCACATCTTCATCTGTTATGTTGTGTTTGACTCTGGACCCTTGCATTGCCAATGCTTAGTGCTTGTTGTTCTTATTGCTGTTCTGTTCTGGTCCTGCAGGAAGGCAATCCTCACAGAGGAACCCAGTTTTGAACGCAAATTTTGGGGCAGCATTTCTGATGAGGCGGAGGACTTCGTGAGGAGCCTTCTGCAGAAGTGAGCGTTGGTGATCGGTGCTGTGGGATCAGAAAAGGCTGGGGGGCAAATGCACTTTGAACATGCTGTCGATCAAGGTTACTGTCGTAGTGGAGTTTGTGCTTTCACTAATGTGTGCAATGGATTATTTGTCACATTCAGAGTGTGTGATGCACCTTATACGCAGGTCTGGAGTGCGAAGCGGCTGCTGGTTTAAGGAAGTGCTGAATCGTTTGCCACCATGCTCTGCCAGTGACCTCAGGTCTTTTGAGCACTGGTGATGGTCTTGGCGATTTTCTGGAATGGGCTGAATGGAATGCACTGTTATGGATGGTTGCACTGTGGTAATCAGTTTGTCTGCTGTGCAGATGTTGCAACAAACCATGCATTTGCTGTATGATCACGAGTTCTGAGCAATCACCCTATCAGGGCAGTGTGAAGAAAGTAGAAATTTGCAGGCTGAGATTGTCACACAGTGCAACAAGCTAGACACAGTGTTGCAGGCTATGGAGACTGCTTGATTTCATGATAGATCTGTATGTACCTAGGGCGTGCATTGAATGTCGCATCTGGGCTGTTTTGTCAGGGATCCGGCCAGCCGACCAACAGCGAAGCAAGCGCTGAAGCATCCATGGGTCAGGCGTGGTGGTGCAAAGCCCACTCAGCTCTCAGAGACTGTTGTGCAGCGCATCCAGGTGTGCATTTTCTGGCAACAGGCCTGCATTTCGATCATCAAACCATTCCTGATCTCTGATCATCTCATCGTTTTGTACCTGGCTCATTGTGCTAAACTGGTGGAGTTCGTATTGTGAGAGATTGCATTTGCGCAAACACCCACTGCCTGCAGATGCCATCGTACCATTGCTGTCCAAGTTTTATATGTGCCAGTGCAGAAGGCAGTTTGCAAACAAGTGCTCTATGCTCGATGTCGTGAGGAGTCCAATGTGGAAAAATTGTAGCATGTGTTCAGCTCTTCTACCCAAACATTAAAAGACTGTATCATGGTTATATTCCTACCAGCGATCGCATGGCCGTTGTACTGATGGGACCCCTGGCGCCTCCACGACCGCAGCAGCCCCACGATCGCAGCGCTGGTTGGAGTTCCAACCTGCGATCGCATCGGCAAGGATGGGCCCACATGAATAACACACTGTGTACTACATAGGCCAGCTGTCACATCACCCCGGTGGGGCGGTGTCGGCCCGTCACATTGCCTAATCAGGGAGCTGATGCACGAACTGTGACCGCACGAGGCGCGATCGTGTGACGCCTTGCGATCGCAGTTCCAAAGTGCATAAAACATTTAACCCTTCCACATCAGAAACTTTAACTGCTGCGCTATTGCTCCACATGTGCTTTTCAGAGTGTTGTTTATATTTTATGTTGCTGCGCAAAGTTTTATTGATTTTCCTTGGTGAAAAATGCTGAGCGCTATCTTACTATGTGGAAGGGTTGAGTATTTTATGGTACCATAGTATGCAGGTTGCCAGAACTTGTGCGTCATACACATGCAGCAATCCAATCCAATGCCTACCACCCTCCAACGCCCCGCCCCCTCACCCCTCCATGGTAATGGTACCTCTGGTGGTGAACCTGGGATCCACGACACATGGGCTACCACTGTTGGCTTTTTCTTTTGCCTTCTGTGGATTGCAATGCATGTCAAATAGAGGTCATCACCAAGCTACAGTTTTATATCGCGCATGCGACGAATGTTCTAGTCTTTGTTGTCAATTAACACAGCTGGAAATGGTGCACTGCAGTGCACGTGAAAGTGATGTCATCTTTTACCATTTCTGACACGTGCACCAGGCTGTAGTGTTATATCGTGCCTGTGACGAGTGCTGATACAGCCGGAAGTGGTGCAGACTGCATTTCTGCGTGGCAGCTTAAACTCCTGATGCTGGCTTCTGTACTTTGCAGCGCTTTGGCCGATCCAGCATCTTCAAGAGAACAGTTTTGGACATGATTGCGGATGAATTGCTGCAGAAGTCGATCAGGTGAGTTCTGATTCGTTTACTCCACGCAAGGCGTGCAGTAATTTTGCCATAATCTCAGCCCAGCATTAAAATAGAGTCCATTTGCACAGAAACTGTAAGGGAGGAGGGAATGCAAATATGCTGGAAGCAAGGAAGATACCAGTCCTCCTGCGCAATGGAGGAAGAATAGCAGTGCGTCACAACTGCATCTTGTCAGGAGCTGAATGTAGAGTTGAAATTCTGAATCTGACTCAGATGGGGGCATTGTATGGCAGGAAAAGGCCACAGGTGGACTTAAGGTGCTGTGCAGTGAGCGACTGGTTGCGAATGTGTACCATGCTGTAGCAACAGGAAACTGCACATGCTGTGTTTGAGAAAATCATGCACAGATTTGTTGCTATGAATCATAACTATGACAATGTGCAGTGCTGCTCAGCACTTAGCGCACTCTCGACCACTGTCATACCCATGCACAAGAGACACACCCTGAATGGAGGATGGTTTACACAATGCACTATGTCAGATGTGCAGAAGTGCAGTCACGGCAATATTTTAATGTTTGTCGCAAAATGGCAGTGCCCCTCCATCCTGTGCCTGCATAATGTCTAGTGCGTTCATAATTTGGGATCTCATCTCTAGCTGGGGTGATGAATGTTCCCTGAAACCAAAGGAGAAGGGTGCAAAAGTGGAGGCACCCAAGTCACACACATCGTGACACACTCCAGGCCAGCTGGAATATTCAGCCAGCAAGATGCCACAGATGATCAAATTGAACCAACACCACATCCGGTGGATGTGGCTTTGATGTCTTGCCTCCTCTACCACCTAGCGTTTTTTGAGCCTGTTTATCTGATGTGGTCACCCTCCTTATTTGGGCACGAGGTTGAGCAAATGATGCTCAAGATGAGGATGTGAATATTGATACGCATTTACTGGCTGCTTGGGAGACAATCTGTCTGAAGAAGGCGAATATTGTCTAACAATGAGCCCAGCCTGGAAGCTGATGTGTGCCCCAGGGACACACAACCTTCTCCCGAAAAGGTTGTTGAAGTTCGGTCAACCTCGCCAGAACAGAGGTCGGAACCTGACACTTCGATGGATGCGGCACAAGATGGGCCACGGGACCGCCAGGAGCGGACATGGCACGGCGGCATGGCCTTCCAACGCAGCTCCAGCCTGCCGACGACATCGCCGGCTCGTACACACCACGGTGGGGAGTTGTGGTCGGCGATGGCCAAGAATGCATTGCGGGCGGTTGGAAACAGCTTGGTCAGAGGGAGGAGATTGTGAGTTGTTTGCATGTTTTCCTATGCGAAAATATTGAATGACGGCATGCTTATAGGGAATGTGGATAACAACCCACTGGCGATGACACTGCTGGACTCCGTCAGTTTGCCACTAGTCATCACAATGGTTGTGGAAGACCCCACTAAGCCCCTTCCATCAGCACACCATTCCGCTGTGATGTTCCAGAAAGCTGCACTGCATGCAGCATATCCAGTGACCATCTTGTCCTGATAGAAGAGGTGTGGGCCTGTGGCTAAACCAGAAAGGAAACTGTAAGACTCCAAAAATGATCGAAGGTGAAGACTGCCGGATATCCTGATCAGAAAAAGTTATGACGTCTTCTTGCTGCGCTGGCAGAACTCCAAATAAGTCCACAGGCTACCTGCCTATCCTCAGGGTAGTGTTGTCTGCTTGAATTGCACAATCAAAACAAGGGAAGAGAAACTGGAAGAAGAAAGGGAAGAACAACTGGACGAGGAAGAGATATGGGGATAGGAGAAATTGTGAGTGTCCTGTCTAGCTGGATGTCACTGTTCCAGCTGCACTTGGCTGTGCTGGGGGCGTCTCAAACTCCTGGAGGCCGTAATGCCAAGCAGCGGCGCTCGTTCGCCAGAGTGTTGGATCCTTAGGCCAAAGCAGTGATCAGGGCCTTGAGGCCCGCGGGTCATGGGCGCACCAGTGTTGGAACTCGAAGCTCGCCTGCAGCTCACGCGCGGCGCCATTACAACGTGCCGCCCGTCAGATCGCCGTTCCCCTCTGGCGTTTCCTCCCTTTGCCCCACCGCAGCCACCGTGTGCCACCCCGCTGCATTCCGCATCCCCAACTAACCAGGCTCCACAGAATGCACCGATTTTGTTTTCTGGCATTCTGGCCCCGTCGCCCACGCGCTGGAACCAATCATGCTCCATCAGGAGGCTCCCGTTCCTTGCCGGAGGCGGAAAGGATGCCGCGCCCAACGCCTCGAAGCAGCTGCCAGCTTCAGGTCCCCTCCCCCCCGGCACACATTACATTGCTGACCACTTACGCCTCACCAATGTCGCTGACGCACCCATTCCGCCCTGTGTGCCCCGCCCACAGCTTCAGCAACCAGGACCTGACCCGCATCGCGTCCACGAGCGCAGAGGTGTGGGAGCAGAAGCGCATGCTGGCCCGTGAGGCCCTGGACACATCCGTGCACGCCGGCAGGCACTACCAGGACCTGCTGGACATGGACACCAGCACGGCGCCCGAGACTGAGGAGGACGACTCGTCGGACGAGTCCCTGCCACCGTCGCCGCCCGCGTACCACATCACGCCCGTGGAGGGCGGCCTGAGGTGCGACCTGAGGGAGGACGAGGGGGAGGGGCCGTCGGGGGCGGCGGATGAGAACTTTGCGAGGTACTACATCGCGTCAGCGTCCGCGGGGGTGCCATTCTCGGAGCATATCGCGGGCGAGGCGTCTGAGGAGGAGGAGGACCCCAAGGTGGGCGTGGAAGGGGCGCAGTGGCAAAGGGGGAGTGTTGGGAATGCCGTCTTTTTGGTGATGTTGGAGTGATATTGGAGTGGTTTTGTGGGTGATGCTTGGCGTGCGCTGGGTACTGACAAGAGTGTGTTTTCAGCAAGGGGATCGCAGGAGTAGCTGGACGCCTGTGACGAACAGAAACGCAGTCCATTCTCCCCCTGTTTGTGTTGGGAGACTCTTGTATGTTTTCTGCAGTGTGGAACAGATTCCCGCACATTCTTGCTTGGGAGGAGATGCTCTGACCCGTTTTCTTTCAGCATATAAGGAACCTTGCCCCCACCCTTGACCAAACTTGTCTTGTGCAATTCAGCAGGGGTGGGCTTCCCCTGGCTGTTTATTGCTAGCTCACATATTGCTTGTTCATGGTTTAGTATTGATGTGTTGGTTATGTGATCAAGTTTGTTCTGCCTTTGCTTGCCGATTTTCTGGTACTGTGCTGTAAAAGCATTGCAATTCAGTTGGCAAAGTGAAGCGCCATCTCCTACAAAGCACATGTTGAAGTCTTTTATGCTCTACAGAACCATGGGAGCAAGTGGGAGCACCGGGTTGTTTTGGGGCTACTCCCACTGAAGCGATATTCCAACGTGACAATGTACTGAAGCAGTTTCCTTTCTCTTCTGCGCATTCCTTTCTGCGAGGCCTCAACCAGTATGCAGAGTTTCCATCATACAAATGAGGGGGAAGCTGCCACTGCCAATGTTTGGGTTACAGTGGCCACGCCAGCAGTCCCTGCACATTGCTGTTCGCTTGGCGTCAAGCATTTCTAAATAGTCTGATTCACACGGAACAATGAGACAGCCTACGAACTTGGGGAGCAATAAGCACTACCCCCCTTGTGATGAATTGCACATGGTATTGCATTGAAACAACGATGTTGGATCACATAAGGTTCGGGGCTGCAAGAAGGGAATTCTAGGGGTCACATTGGGGACACGGCCAGGGAAGTGCTCTATCCATGCTGACAATGAGATCAAAGCAGACCTGCCCACCGTCCCATCTCCCATCTCTGCAGAAACACAAGCCTGACTTCTCTTTGCCGATCGCAGCTCAGTGCCAAAGCTGCCGAATTGTGCCAGCATGGGCAGTCCCACTATATGCAATTCTTGGAGGCGCAAGGAGGCACTGTAGAAGATCCCCCAGACTCTCATGGTAATGGAGCAGTTGCCGATGGCGTTGAGGCTATGAAGGACAGCATGCAGAGGGGCCGGCCGGGTGGCCCATCGATGCCTGGACCCTTCAGGAGGGGGCGCCCCAAGTCTGCCCTCTCTGCATCGCTTGACAGGGATGAGGTGGGCCATGTGCTGCAGGCACTGCAACTGGATGAGAATGGCTGTGCCAGTGTGGAGGAAGTCACAAAGGGGCTGATGAAGCTTGGTGAGTTGCATTTTTAGTTGTTGATCAGTTTGCAGTGAGCTGTAGCCTTAAAGTGTTATGTCTCCTGGTCTTGAACATGGTTCATGCGGACGCGGAACTTTCATGGTAATACACTTTTCACATACTCCGTACATGCAGTAATGCTCAAACGCTGTTGCCATCAGCTGTTCCTGTCATGTGAGTATTTCACCATATGCAAATTCGCACTTTCCCCCCTCCCCCCCCCCGCCCCCCTCCATTCGCAGACAAAAAGAAGTGAACTTGGCCCTTGGGTAGCATGTGATGGCTGTGAAGTGTAGCGCTCTTTGCCTCTGTAGCATATGCAAGGTTGTCCAGGGGATCGTTCATGGGGGTCGCCATCGCATGGCCGATCTCGCTGGTGGACCAAGGGTTATCAGTTTTGAAGCTGACAGGTGCATCTGGAGGCAACTGCTGCTACCAAGAACAAGCAGGCTGTCCTGCAGGACAATAGCTGCTGCCAGATAGTGTGGGGGATCAGAACATGGCCTTGGCTACCACTGGATGCGGATGTGGTGTGTCCAGATTTGGTTGCCAAGATGTACATCAGTTGTACAGGATAGAAATTTTCTGCACTGGGTTTTTGCACATAATTTTCTGCATGCTGTCGAGTTGTGAGAATTTGTGTGTGCAAGTTGTGTCCGCAAAATGCAAGATGGTTTGTCTGCACCCGCATTTCTTTGTCTGGCCAAAAACCCATGCGAAAGTGCCAACATTCTCATCTCCTGGCACCAGCAACTGACTGGGGTTGGCTGAGTGTGACCAATAGGATAACTGGAAAATGATTGAATATGGACCCTGCTTTGTGATGTTGGCACACCACAATGTTCTTGGTGCTCTTTTGTCTGGCAGCAGAGGCATCACAGTCACAGTGTCTTGGGGGCACCCAGTTGATTCTGTGCTTTCTTTAGAGTACCACAGATCGCAGAGGAGAGGAAGGGGGTTGAGCGTGGGGCCATTTAGATAGTGCCTCCGGCATTATCTAAAATGGCCAGTGATATAAAGTGGAGTGCAGGGGGCATGCAAGATAGTGCCCCCCGCGTTCATGATGTCAGCCGTGATGCTCAACAGAGGCGGATGCTATCCTCTGTGGTCTACAGTACAGGATTGCTTGTTGGTTTCTGTGTGCTGTGTTGAAGACAGCCTTGAGTTCCGATGTGGAACTTCTGACCAATCTCTGACGCCAATGTGTTGCACTGCAAGGGTTCAGGAGTGTCCTCCAGGTCGCTGCCTTTGCCATGTTCCGGGGAGCCTGTGACCTGATTGAGTGTCAGGGATGCAAACAAGTACAACCACCTGAAAATGGGATTTGCTGGTATGCCGCAGGCTATGCCCTTGAGCCTGGTGAAGTGCCATCCTTGATGAAGAGCATGGCCCCTGGAAACGACGGGACTGTGAACCTCAGCCAGTTCCTTGCCAGTCAGGTGGACTGGCAGGACTTGCAGAGGAACTCTCGGGAGGAGTGGCTGAATGGCGCAAAGCAAGCCTTCAATGATTTGGACAAGGATGCTGATGGCCGCATACAAGCCCAGGACATCTTGGCCGCGTTGCAGCACAAGCTCCCTACAGCAGAGGTAAGAATGTCATTCTGTTGTTGGGTGCAATGGGTTGGTGGGGAGGTGGTTCTGCGTTCGCTGCAATACTGGCTGGCAGGACTGTTCCGCAGCAGCATGGTCCTCTCAAGAGGCCCATATTCATGGTTACAGTGCCTTCATCTTTTTAATTCTTCGGTTGTGCTTCGGATTCCACCCTATTTGTGCCGACTGATTGTGTTGTGGGCAGCACAATTGACACCTGTGTTACCAAGCCATGGCGCTGTGCCCGCTTTCAATTTGTCCAGCAAGGTGATATTGAGGCGAACTCCTCTTTGCCAGAACATAGCAGTATACTTGCTGCCCATCTTGCAGCAGTTTGTGCGACTTGGTATGCTGTGTGGAGCAACTTAACAATCCACATGCATCGAACTATTCACAGGCAGAAGCGTCACGGGCAGGGTGCGATCTGGCAGCGACATCATAGTGCGGAGATGCATTCACAGTGCCTGCCCAGTGTTATCTCATAAGGCAATGGTATCGTTCTATTTAGCACGCAGCGCTACCAGCAGCGACAGCACTGTTTCCTGGTGGGGTGCGTAGCATTATCAGCAGCCCCACAGGTGGCAAACGCTGTGTGCTAATGTCCCCCACTCAGCGCCCTAGGCGGAAACAACCTGGTTGCTGTGTGGGGAGGTTTGAAGTGTCCAAATTTTATCAATCAACTGATCAGCTGATAAAAACATTCTCTTGATCTTTCCTTTATTATCACACCTTGTTCACCTTTTGCTTACTCGTGTGAGGCAGAGCCAAGTCACGTTGTTCCAATGCGACACCTACCCACTGGGCGCGTGGTTGGAAGGAGCCTCCTTACATTTGTGCGATGTTTCGTTGTCTCTTGTTGTGGACTTGCATCATTCTTACCACGCATTCTGCTGCCATCACCCATTGGCGAAAGGCCCATGTTTTTTCCCCTCCATTGTGTTGCATGTGGTCAATGTGGATTTTTTTCAACTGACCGGACGACATTTCTGTGGTTGGCCTCCAGGTGGACGCGGCAGTGGAGCAGGCTGCGATTGAGTGCTGTGCCGATGAGTTGGAGATGGACTTCGAGGGATTCGTGTCCCTTTTGAGGGTTGACTCGTCAGACTCATTGGCGTCCCTCGATGAATTTGACTCCAGACTTGGATCGCATCATGGACCATCGTCACAATACTCTTCCTCGCTGGCAACTGTCCCAGAGCACTGAAGTATCGAGATAGGCCATGAATGCTTCCACCAGGGTAACCAGGGGGTGCAATTTCTATGGATGGAGGGGTTTTCTTCCAGGCCTCTAAATTTAGATATGCATGAGACATACACATTCTTAGGTTGGTGTGAATGGCTGTCAGTGTGCACATGGTGTGGCATTCGCGGCGTCAGGATTCAATTTCATTGGGGGGCAGTTTTTTGGGCGCCCTCAGACTTGGGAAAGCAGGGGATGTCTCCCAGTTGTCGCAATGCAGCGACTGCTGAATTCCTTATGGCCTGCCGAGCGTGGGAATTATTGGTGCGTGCGTGGAATTGCGGACAACGGCATTTCCGAGCACATCTTTCCACGTTTGGCTGAATGAACAGTTTTGTGGAGTTTCTTTGTTGCGGTCCCTGAGCCTGAAGAATTGGGCCAGAGGGCCGCAGAAGCGCAGTTGGCGGGAAGGTGCCACGGGCAAGTGGTCGTTATATATCTTATGGATTGGTACAATCTGCCACGCCAGGTGACGCTCCTGGCCATGTTTGCGTTATTTCATTTCTTCCCAGTGTTCCCTTGATCGCTGGGCGTTCCATAGCAATCGAGTGGGATGTGGGACTCATCAGCAGGTCACACAATGTTCACGGTTGTGAGTCTGCGCTGACATTTCATTGTTGACTACAGATAGTTCTAGTGGCACTGGCTCCATCCGTTGTGACGGGCACTTGCGTCTGTTTGTGAGGAAGATTCCCCGATGCAACCCCAGGGGCTATCTGCGACTCGATCAGGGTCAGTGCTGCATTACCTTGGACAAGGCACTGGGACGCAAAGGGGTCGCAGCCCGTCGTCAAAAATGCAGCACAATACGGAGCAGGGCAGATTCTACGGCAGTGCATTCTTGTATCAACAATCAAAAATAAGACAGGCACCCACAACTGCTCACAATGGCCCTGAACGGCCCAAAGTGGTCCAAAATGACGCAAATTGGCACAGAATGTCCCAGAATGGGCCAAAATGGTGCGGACTGGGCCAAAACGGGCTGAGAAGAGCCGTCAGTTTAGCCGTTTGCCACAATTCGCCGACCGCATAGCGTTACACACATGCTGGCAGAGCTTGCTACATTACACAGACGGTCCTCTGGTGAGAAACACACTGCGGAGCGGGTGCACACCCGGCCAGGCCTATCCTCTTTATTTTGCCCCGGGGCAGCGGCCGCCCTCGGTGCCACCCACTACGGCGCTGAACAAACACCCAGCCCGGGCCCCCCAGGGTCCCAACGTGCACCAGCGCCCAGCCTAGCAACCCGCACAACCAACCTCACTGGTCGCCCGCAAAGGCGAAGCGTCGCTGTCATGTCAACACGCCACAAGGCACCCCTTTATTGCGATGTGGGTGACAAATTCGATGAATGACGCCGGGAGGTGCGGCACCAACGCCCACACTCCCGCCACCCCACCCCCCCTCCCAACCCAGCACACACACACACACACACGCACACGGGGTCCGCCAACGGCGCCGGCCGCGCCAGCGGCCCGGCGGCCAAGGGCTGGGGGGACAACACACACACTCTACCCTCCGCGCGCCGCGGCAGCAGGCGGTGTCCGCGTCGCTTTCCGGAGAGGCGAATAAAAATAGAAAAGCGGTACAAACACGCCGAGGGTGGGCCAGCCGGCCCGATGGCAAAGATCCTGGCCGGCACGGACACCCGCGCCGCTATGGATGGCGGCGCCCACCCGCCCCCAGGCCGCCCCACGAAATCACCGAGAGCTTGAGTTTCCCGCGCCGCCCCCCTTTCTCTGCGCCCTCCCACCCCACTCCACCACAAGCCTGCTGAAACTGCGGGGGATCGCCCCGTGCCGCCGATCGCGGCCAAGCCCTCCCCGGGCCACGGCGACGGGTCGGCCGCCGCCGCCCGTTGATCGGATCACGAGGGGGGCGCCAGGCGCGGCACGTATCGCTTCCGCCGGTTCTTGGCCTTCAGCGCCTCCGCCAGCTCCGACTTGGTCATGTTCTCCAGGCTCTTGACCTCTGAGTTGCTGCCCAGCGTGAACGCGCTGCCGAAGGAATTGCTCTTCTTATCCTATCGTGCGGCGCGGCGCCGTCAGCGAGATCCGTTCGGTCGCTGGGGGGCCGACGACCGCAGCTTACTCTGCGGCGGGGGCAAAGAGTGTGCGGGCACTACAACGGCGAGGGTCGCACGCGCGTCGGGATCAGGGACGCGATTTGGCCGGCCGCAGCTATCCAGTGGGCGATGCCAATCAACGGGGAGCGACCGGGCTCGCTGTCGACCCGCGGCAATCAATCGGGTCGGCGGCTCCGCGCTGAGGGATCGGCACTCACCGACGGGGAGCCTCGTCCGGACGTCAGCTTGGCGGCCCTCTGCTTCTTGCCCGTGCCTGGAGCCACACAGTCGGGCGCGCTATCGGTCAGCGGTGGTCAGCGTGCGCCACCCCCCCCCCACCCCCGATCGTCCCCACCCCCCACCCCCGTCATCACATCCCCCCCAAAAAACCCCGGCAACCGGGCTCCCCCAACCGACCCCGATCGCCCCACGGCCGCTTTCCCAAATCTCCTGCCAGGGCTCCCAACTGCCCTATCCCACCCCCCTCCGATTACTGCCGTCTCCCAATCCCTTGCGAATCCCCCCCCGCCCACCTGGCGGCCTGCCCCGCCTCCTCTTGGGCGGCCTGTCCTCGCCGTCCGATGGCTCCCCGCCCGCGGCCACGGGGCGCCGTCCGCGCTTGCGCGGCCGCCCCCGGGGCCGCTTGGGGGGATCGCCTCCAAGCGGCGCCAGCCCCTGGCCGCCCTCCGGCGGTGCCATCCCCACCTCGCCGCTGCTGGCCAATAACGCACCGGCCTGGGCGAAGCCCGCATCCCCGCCAACGCCGGCCATCGCCCGGCCTGCCGATCGGCTCCCCCCGCCGGGTCTATTGAATCTCCGGTGGGCCGGGGGGCAAGGGGGAGGGGTGGGGGCGGGGGCGGGGGCGGGGGGTGGGTGGGGGGGTGCCGGGAGGAGGACGCCCGCTGCCAAAAACCCCGGTCCAGAAACCTGTGTCGGGAGCTAAGTCGCTGGTGGGAGGGGGGCGGCGCCCCAGTGACGCGACGGTCACGTGGCGCCCCGGCGGACCAGGCGTGCCGCCAAGTACAGGCCTTGGAGGTTGGTTGGAATGTGTCCGCCCGACGGGGCGGATGGGCATGCCTCCGGCGCCCGGTTCGTGCTGTAGGGGAGAAGCGCGGGCATACACTTAGTGGCTGCACCAAATCGATGATTGCTTGCACCAAATCCCTCAAACCTAACCAAACCTAAACCCTAAACTTTAAAAACTAGACCCAATACTATCCTGTCCCTAACCTTAAAACCCACCCTAACCCTAAACCTAAACCTAAAATGGAGGTGAGGACCTATTGTGCACGTGATTTGGTGCAAGCTTTCACCAATTTGGTGCAAAAAATGCATTTTACAGTTTTGGGAATTGCCAATGCCGGTTGCACCCCCAACTCCACCCACCACGTTATTAGATTATGAACGGTCAGGACAATTTATTACCGGGTTATGAAGTGTATGGGTACAATAACAGTACACTAAGACACTGGTGTGGGTGCCATGACACGGATTCTTTCCGCACCGGTGGCCCGCGAGCTTACCACCGTACTTATGTGGTGAGTGCGGTGTAGTAATGATCCTTTCTCGCGCAAGCAAACTGCACCCGCGACCCGACCCCGCGACCTCGGCCGACCTGGCCGGCGGAGCCCGCGAGTTCGCCTGTCCCCAAGCATACCGCCACGAGCGCCGTGCCCAGCACGCGCTGATACGCCGTATGGGTATTAAACCCATTAAGGCACTATAGAATATATTGAGTTTTATTATTGGAACTCTACTTTACTATGAACCGTCCCCTTGTCACTGGTCTAGGGTGACTGGCTTTCCTAGACTACGTATGTAGTCTCAAGCCACGTAAAGTACTAGAATATATAAATATAGATATTATACCGTCTTGTAACGGGTGGTCCGGCGTGAGTCATGGTGACTCACGTGCCGTGGCGAGGTGGGTCCACGGACTTAGCGGGAAGGCGCCCACCGTAGCATTAGCCTGTATCATTTAGTTTCGGAGCCAGGCCCCCAAGGCCTGGCCCTTCCACCCGCGCGCTCGCGCGACACACCGCGAAAGCAACCCGGCCGCCGAGCCCCGAGGCTCGGCGGGCCGAAGCCCGGGCATCCCCGCGGATGTCCGGGGAAATTCCGGGGCCATCTGGCCCCGATGTGCCCTCTCCCGGCCGTAATGGTGGGGAGAGCGGCGAGGTGCCATTCCCCGCGGAAGGCACCGGAGCCGAGGGCGGATCGCCACCCTCCGAGGCCGCAGAGCTGCGCCGCCAACTCGCCGACCTGGCGAGCATGCTGGCGGACACCAACACCCGCCTCCAGCGGATGGAGGAGGCGGCGAAAGGGGGGACCCGGCGGGAGCACCGGTGACGCGATCCGAAGGCGGAGGCAGGAGGGCGCCCAAGGCGCCGAGAAAGAGCCCGAAGGGGACGGACCCTGAGGACTCGGGGAGCGACGGATCGCAGCCAGAACCCGGGGAGATCGAGGAGAAAAAAAAGGGCGGCCATGGCCAGCCCGCCCCCGTTCGAGGAGTGAAGGCGCCAGGTGAAACCTCCCGAGAAGGGAGGCGCGATTCGACGCGCGAGCCCGCAGCAAGGGAGGCCCCTCCAACGGCCTCGCGGCCCACCGAAAGGGCCGCCGAATTGGTCGAGCAAGCGGCAGGTACAGGGCCCAACGAGGGGCCATTGTCCGCCACCACAATTTCCCAGG